TCACTATTTCAAGCGCGTCAAGATCTCTGCCCTCGCTCTCCTCAAGATGGTTGTCCACGCCCGATCGGGTGGTACCATAGAGGTGATGGGGCTGATGCAAGGGAAGACTGACGGGGACGCCATCATTGTCATGGACGCATTTGCTTTGCCTGTTGAAGGGACCGAGACTAGGGTTAACGCTCAGGCTGATGCCTATGAGTATATGGTCGACTATTCCCAGACTAACAAGCAGGTTCTTTTTAAATCACTTTTTTTTATTTGTATGATTTTGATTTAAAGCCGGCGTTGATGAAACCCTAAATCTACATAGTATCGGTAATTTTAATAGTTTACCTTAGCCAAGACAAACGGAAAGAGTTGATAATTATATACGGAGAAGGAAATGCCAAATAAAATAAAGAAATGTTCTATGAGTATCCTTTCCTTTCACTGCGATGAGATAATTTCTCATTTTTGTTGCCTCCTCTAGTTGTAGAAGGGTATTTAAAGTTAATTGGATTCAAGTTGAACTAGTTTGTTTTTACTTACATTCTTGCAGTTATATATTTGTATCGGCGGTTTTTGTGTGATGCTAGATAATGTTATGTTTCAGGAAACATGGTAATATTGTTGTCTATGAAAATCATTGCTCTTAAAAAGAATAAGATCTGTGTTGTAGGCTGGTCGATTGGAGAATGCTGTTGGATGGTACCATTCTCATCCTGGATATGGATGCTGGCTATCCGGTATTGATGTTTCAACCCAAATGCTGAACCAGCAGTTTCAGGAGCCCTTCCTGGCAGTTGTAATCGATCCAACTAGGACTGTTTCGGCTGGAAAAGTTGAGATTGGAGCTTTCAGGACATACCCTGAAGGACATGTTCCTCAAGATGACCCTGTCTCCGAATATCAGACCATTCCGCTCAATAAGATTGAAGATTTTGGTGTGCACTGTAAACAGGTTTTACGAAATTCACTAGCCCTTCAAGAATAGTGGTCCTCTCGTTGTTTCTTAATTTGTTATATGTTTTTCCTGCAGTATTATGCATGGATATCACTTATTTTAAGTCGTCTCTTGATAGTCACCTGGATCTGTTATGGAATAAATACTGGGTAAACACCCTTTCTTCTTCACCTATCTTGGCTAATGGAGATTATGTTGCAGGACAAATTTCAGATTTAGGTAACTCTTCTTTGCTTGTTTAATGTTGCTGTACAGATAGTATATTTTCGTTTTTGCTCATGAAATTTTTATTTATTACTAAGTTCTTGGTTGTTTATTCACACTATTTCATCTTACAGCTGAAAAACTGGAGCACGCAGAAAACCAATTGGCTCACTCTCGCATCAGCCCTCTAGGACCCCCTAGAAAGAAGGTCTGTATTATTATTATCTTTTAAAATTTTGTATGCTGAAGCTATTTTCAGGATAATTTCTCTTTCTCTTAATGAATGCAATGTGGCTACCCGCTTATTAGTTGCAGGAAGAATCTCAGCTGGCTAAGATTACTAGAGATAGTGCAAAGATTAGTGTGGAGCAAGTCCATGGTTTAATGTCGCAGGTGACTTAGCTGTTCCATAATTCTTACTTTATCCATTAATTGATTATGGCATTCGGTTTTAACCATTTTATACCTTTAGGTCATCAAGGACATTCTTTTCAACTCCGTACGACAGTCGAATAGGTCCCCTGATGAGCAATCTGATCCTGAGCCTATGGTTGAAGCCTGATACTAACCTCTGGCCAGATGAAATGGTTACCTTGAGCTTGAGAGACTAGTTTTTACAAGAAGAAAATGCATAATACATAGGATTCCAGGCAGCAGTGTTGTTCCCTTACTCTACTGATGTAAAAAGTGAATCCTTCGGGCGGGGTCATTTATCTGTTTTGAACTAAGTTTCTTGCCTAATTCTGTGTTAGTTTATGCATGAATTGTTGAAGAGATCATACTATGGAATCAAATTCTAGTATAGTTTAAAATTGTTGGTTTCCTTGCAAACTGGTTATGGAATCGTGATAAAATTTGCTGAATGGGTTCCTGGGCAGCAGCTTTACAAAACACAAGGGATTTGAGTTGAAAAACTTGCAGCGGAATGAAACACACCGTTGGAATTGTTGAAAGATCTCTTACTCCGCAATAACGTGATGAACCAGGCCTTTGTATAATCCATAACCGAAGCGTACAAACAATTCCCTGTCCAAATCCTACTTTGAATGATTTGATTTAAAAAAAAAATACTTCAGCGTATAAACAATTCTTTGGATTTCAAGTTATTGGATAACGTGATGAACCAGGCCTTTGTATAATCCATAACCGAAGCGTACAAACAATTCCCTGTCCAAATCCTACTTTGAATGTACTTTGATTTAAAAAAAAATATCAGTCACTTCGATGGTTCCGTATAATATTCTAATTCTTTGGATTTCAAGTTGGATTGGATTAAGATGTTACGTTAGATCCTAAATCTCCATAAAAATTAAATCCACAAATTTTACATTCCTAAATCCCTAATTTTAGAATTTATTACCATCGCCTACTACCACCGTTATCGTTGAATGTATATCCCACTCATTATAGACCATCATGTTGGATATTCTTATTGTGGTCGCCAAATCTCTCAATTCCTTAAGTAGGGAATTAGGATTTTAAAGATTTAATTTTAAGATTTATGAATTTAAGATGTTTTTTTGAAAATAGAAAAACAGAAATTCTTAAAAATATATATATGAATTTTATTTTAAAAAAATAAATTAAACTATGTGTTAAAAATTGATTGTTAATGAATTTGTTTTAACTGTCGTCACAAAATTGATCTTAAAATTGGAACTTTGAAAACATTAAGCATATTTTGATGAAAATATTTAAAATTAAAAAATTAATTTAAAAATTTAATTTTTAATTAGGTCTAATAATTTTAGGGTAAAGTACGTAAATGGTCTCTCGACTATAGAACGTTACTTTGTTGAATCCCCTAAATAACAAGTTATAAAATTGTCCCCAATTATAAGACACTACTTTATTGAGTCTTTTTACTATTAAAAGTTACAAAAGTAGTCATGATCTTTTATATGTTCCAACTCGTTATTTTCAATTAAACATTGATGTCGTTTGAGTTGGACATTACCTACTCACTAAGATATGATAAAATTTGATCTCATATACTGTTTGAAATTTATTTTATGGGTCGAGTCTCTATTTATATTATATCTTGAGTTAGTGCTTAAAATATATCATCGTGTCAATATTGAAGCAATAGTTTGCAAGTAAACATCATTAAAATATGATTTATCATATCCAAGTTATCATGTTAACGCTCATTTCAAACATTCATTATTTTTTAAGGAAAATAATGAGTGTAAAATATGAATAGTCAGAAGACTATTATATAAATTTTAATAGTCAATGATGCAACAAAACAACGTCCTCTAATCAAGTGATTATTTTACAACTTCTAATAATGATGTGATTCAATAAATAATTTTTTATAATAAAAACATTGGTGTATTTATCCATAATTTTAATGTATATGCAATAAGAGATAAATAAAAATGAAATAAATTAATAAAAGAGAAACTAAATAGTAACAGCGAGCTGAAATATAATGAGCAATGGCATTAGCACGACAAGAAGAGGAAGGGGAGGAAGGGGAAGGGGAAGGGGAAAGGAGAGAACAGATAAGAGATTGCACTCTAAATAAACACAAATACGTATTATTAATATATTAATTTTTTAATTTACCAGAAAAAAATATATTAGTATTTTAAATAAATAAAAAAAAGTAAGAAGAAAGAAGGAAAGGAAGGAAGTAAAAGAAAACGATAGAGGGAGCCAAAAAGAAATCGATAGACGCTGCGAACAATCCGACCCCCAACCTTTTCCCTTTCAATTGCCTTGTAAAAGTCGCACCTTCGTGGTTTCAATTGCTGCACTGTTCCCTTTGTTTTTATTTTCCGTCCATCTCTAGGGTTTTCATTTGTGCTTTGCGTTTATTCAATCCGCTTTGTTTTGTGGGGTTTCGGTTATTACTTAAGCGGAGTTTGGTCCCTAGGGTTTTGATTCTCCGAGATGAAATTTGGGTATGAACGGTTCCCCTGTGGTCTTAGGGATGTCTGAAACTGGAATTCTGAGTTCTCTTGTTTCTTCTTTCTTTCTATGGGATTTCATGCTTTCTTTTTTTTTTCTCTCAATATGCAGAGATTAAGAGTTCGATTTGCATTATAGAATGCAAATCGGTGGATTCGGATTCATTTTTGGCATCTGAGAAAACTGTAAATTGGGGGTGGAAACAGGTCTCAGTGGTTTATGGTTCTGTGAATGGTGTAAAAATCTGCTTATTGAGCAATGCAACCACAGCAGGGCTCCAGAACCAATTTAGGTGAATTTAAAAGCTCAGATAGTGAAGAAGATTGGGGCTGAGAGATCAAAAGGTATTTTTATAATTGAGTAGGTTTTTGAGCCAGAGCTTAGTAAAAGTGAGTTCGATAAGTCATGTTACCGCATTCTGGAAGGGAGAATCTGCCACGGCATAACCAGTTGATACGCGCAATTTGAAAAATGCGTGTCAGGCCAAGACTCCACCACCACTTCATGAAGCAGGTCCCGCTAAATCTCGATACGAAATGCTAAAAGCTATGCTGGTAGAGATGATGGGCATGAGCCAATTGGATCCTTTGTACCCAACCAGAATCCAAACATGGCCATTTCCTCGAATGGGGTTTTGTCAATGTCATCCCTGAGAAAGGTTAGATCTGGAATACAGGATAGAAAGCTCAGGGATCGGCCCAGCCCGCTGGGGCCAAATGGAAAGGTTGATAGTTTCTCACATCAATCCATGGGTACTGAAGACAATGGCAATAAATTGGGTCTAGAAAATGGGGATTTGACACCATGACCATCAGAGACCATTGCAGCATCCTCAAACAGTTGCCGAGCAGCCTGAAATTGAAAGAGAAGGTTTGGGGCGTTCCACAGGAAAACCAAGGGTGCCTATCAGAGGTCTAACTGAAGGAGCTGTTGTTGAAGATGGCGAGGGGGTGGAGCAGCCAACCACATTGATTTCTCTAGAAATCCTTTGCTTGCACCTCTTGGGATTCCATTTTGCTCAGCTAGTGTCGGTGGTGCCCACAAAGCTCTGCCTGTGGCAAGCAGTGGCGACTTCATTAGCTACTATGACAGTGGTAGTTTGTATGATACTGAGACATTGAAGAAACGTATGGAACAGATCGCAGCAGCTCAGGGCCTTGGAGGTGTTTCATTGGAATGTGCTAGTATGTTGAACGACATGTTGGATGTATACTTGAAGAGACTGATTAGATCATGTGTCAATCTGGTGGGGTCAAGACCTACACGTGAATTGAGAAAGCACTCTGCCCACATGCAACATCCTCAAACCAAGCTTGTTAATGGTTTTACGCCAAGTAGTCACTTGCATATGCAGAGTAGCTCTGGGCCTACAGAAGTTTTGCAGGGCAAGTGGCAGGGGTGCTCAATTTCTTTGCTTGATTTCAAAGTTGCAATGGAGCTCAATCCCCAGCAGCTGGGTGAAGATTGGTCATGCTGCTGGAAAAAATATGTATGCATTCATTTGAAGAATGAAAGCTCAACAAAAATTTGTTTATCATGAAGCGGTTATAAGGATATGCTCATCCCTTTGTGCTCGACAAATGTTGAAGCTGCCAGTTCGTTACATTTACTGACATGAACCAGATTGTTCCCAGTCAGATAAAGCCCTTGCAAGATTAAATTATGGGCTTGAGTTTTGGGATGCCTATACACTTGCTGCAGAGCTGGGACGGATCAGATTATTATTTTTGAGCAACTGAGCTAAAGTGCTTACAACTCGTTGCTCTGTTGTACAATTAGCATGTTGTTGGCCGGCTTCTACAGGTCTCAATCTTTTCTTGTAATTTACAGCCATTGAGGTAGAAGTCTGAGAAAGTTTTGCAGAGGCACTGCCTTGTAGCTTTGTGTAAGGTAATTTATTTGTAAAGAGCTGCAACATTGCTCTACATGTAATTTAGAATCTGAGAATAGATTTTAGTTTCAATAATAACAAGTCGACATCCATTAAATTGTCCACGTGGTTTACATTATAATTTTCCGAATGCCACTGAAAAACGATTTGTGTGGCTTGATTCTCTGTCCTTGTGGATTTTATGATTTGCTAATTGTAATTAATTGTCATTTAAAAGATTTGGTGGCATACAGTTTTCCATAGTGCTCAAGCTTCTGTTTCTTATTTGGTCTCCATTTTACTTGCATGTACCAGAGTGTAGATGGGTTACAACGCACTGTTTTTGCATCAGCATTAACTTTGTTAGCCATTTCTGCTATCCGAGCCATGCAGCAGATATGCAGAGGTTAGGTTGTTGAACCAGTGACTGGTTTTTTCATATTGTGAAAACATCTGAAAAGTAGTAATTTGTGCTTGCTGATGGTTGCCGATCACTGTGAAGGACTTTGATGGACTATATGATATACCAAATCTCCAACTTTGAAGGCGGATCGTCAGAGGCAATGCTTGAAGATCAATGTAATTTGTCATGTGTGTATATATGGGAAACATAGGGCGGTTTCATGTGAACCAAGAAATCTAGCGCGCATTCTGTCCTAGAATCATGTTATTTCCATGTTATCCCCTGGCCATAAAGCTGATATTTTCTATAAATGATATTGGTTTGATGGAGGGATTGTTTTTCAAGTTTTGGTACCTTAATTGATTGTTCAACTTTTACCAACCAGGCAACCATGCCGTTAACAACTTAATTTTGTTTATTCAAGTGCCAATATGAGAAAGTCAAACTTCATGCACCAATCGCATAAGAGGTCCTGTATCGCTGTTAATCAACTTTCAAACTACCTGTAAATTACAATTGCATATACTGGCTTGAGAGAGCCACAACCAAAAATGTCCGAAAAGATATTTTGTTTTACTAGCAATCAAGTAAAGTATAAACAAAAAACATCATGAACCTAACTGATTACTATTTCATTCACATTTCTTTTGATGGGGGAAGGAATTCCAGTGCAGTGCGAAGAGCAGCAGGTTGATTAGTTGATTTGACAACTTGACACAAAATGAGTCTCTCTCTCTCTCTCTCTCTCGCTGGTGAATTATTCTGCACAATCATTTCACATCTTATTCTTAACTATAAAAGAGACTTTGTCCGTGATTTGAGATGAGGGTGGAAAAAGCTCATCACCCTTCAGAAAACGAAAATAAACTTTAAAAGAAAAGTATAGCAAAGGGAAACCCTACAAAAAAAGGGAAAGAAAAGAAAATAGAAGATTCTTCAAGACTTGGACTTGCCTTTCCCTTACCAAGCTGCCGTATGAAATATTCTTGGAAAACGGAGTGGTCAAGGCATCAAAATAATCAAACTTTAATATGTATACATAATTATCGAGGAATAAAGAGAAGAAGAAAGAAACAGTGTAGAAGGGAAGAAAATAGACTGGCTTTGAATATGAAGGGAATGTTGTTCTTCTCCTTTTGATTATTCGAATATGCAGAGAGAGAACGCGAGATTTAAAGCCTTACAGTAGATGGAGATGAAGATGAAAGGATTCTTTTTAGCAGTAAGAAGGAAATATAAAGGAATATAGCAAGTATTTTCCTTCCATTTCTTCACTTATTTCGTCACAACAAAAAGTGTGTTAGAGTGAAAGAAATATCCAAGCTGACGCCGTTGCCAACCAATCCAAACACTTATTAAGAAAAACATGTATAATTCTTTAATTTTATATTTGATAATTTTCTAATGTATTTATCGTAAAAAATTTGGAAGGAAGAGTGGTTTACACTTATTACCCCACGTATACCATTATTGTTGTTTATTATTCCTATATGATTAGTTGATTTAACGTGGCCTAAGTTGAGCGGGCTGGTATATAGTATTGGAGGTCGGTGGCGCCAACTAATGTTCCTAAATTGTGCAAAGACAATATGGGTAAACACCAAAGAAATGCGGTTGAAGAGGTCAAAAGATTTCCAATTTTGTGGGCTGCTTGATTTAACACCCTGTGTGCATGTAAACCATTGGGTTGTGCGATATTGTCGCTCCTTTGCCCTTTGATTTCCCTTTACCAAACTAAGAAAACAAACCAATTTATCTTCATCCATCTCCTTTTCATATACAGCAACTCTTCTTCGTATCAAACCACCTCGTCCATAAATTTTGGTTTCGTTCTCGAGGCGGTAGGCGGTCTTTATCCCCCTTCTTTTTCAAGGTGGTCCTCGTGCCTAGGTATATGTACATACATGCAAGTGATTAACAAAAAGATTAAAAGGAAGTGATTTGTATTTGATATTGATGCAGGATTGTGTTACATATTGGTAATCAGAGAAACGATAATCAGTAAGTAATGACGACCACAAAGAGAGAAGTTGGCACTTCGATGAAAGAGAAGAAGGGACCTTCCCTGCAAACTCGAAGCCTTCTCCGAGAAAACATTCGGCTTCGGTTCAGGTTCCGATGAAAAACAAGTACCAAGCCATCTCAAGCCGACGAAGAAGTCACGCACTGATGTTGCTCCCAAGACTTTAAAGAAACCTGCGAACGAGGACGCCTCCCAAAACCCACTGTTCTCAGGAGAAGATCTTTGATAGGCTACAGCGACTGCTCGAGCTAACAATGCACTTATCTCTCCCGTCGACCTAAAATGGCAGCAGGAGCAACATCCTCGTCTCCTTCTGTTACTTTAAAACCGGCTGCTGCACCCAAGGCACCTTGGAAAGGGTTGCCAAAAAGCTAAATGTTCCAACGAAACCACATGCACAAACGTTATCTTCGTCTAGGAGCTCGCACAAGTCTCCCCCTACTACTAGCACTAAGACTAGGAGGGATCTTCAACTCCTCCTTTGGCTTCGAGGAAACCTCCAAGCAGTCCTGAGAGAAAGGAAGTCATGTCTTTCGGAACCGAGCATGAAAATAAAGAAAATTTGGATATTCAAGTTGAGCCTGAGGCTGAGGAGGTGTGAAAGATGACCAGGGTGAAGGGGGTGATACCGAAACACCAAAAGGTGATCAGGGTGAAGTGGATGATACTAAAACACCAAAAGCTGAAGAATGTGGCAACACCGAAACTGAGCCGTTGCGGTATACGAAGATACTACTCGAGTCACAAGTGTTGTCGATAAAGGAGGACAAGATACTATTGATATTTCTAGTTCAGCTTCGGAGCAACAAAGTGAAACTGGTATTTCTAGTTAGTTTCAGAACAACAGATTAATATGTCTCGTGCAATTTCGGAACAACAAAATGAACCTGAGTCTGAGTCTCGGCTCAGCTTCAGACTGAAAAAGTGGAAGATGAGGTTGAAGAAGTAAAATCAGATCATATTCCTCAACCTGATGATGGATACAAGGAGAATCAAGCCAAGAGGAGATCATTGTTGGTGATGATCCCCAGCAAGAAAAGACTCCTCATAAGGATCGGGAAGCGAACCCCGAAATCGAACATGCAACTAAAGAAACTGAAGAGCAAAAGCAACCCGAAAGCTGGCAGGAGGAGGATAATGAAGGAAGTCAGCAACAGGGGCTTCAAACCAGTAATGAAGAAACGGTTCAAGAATCGACGCAGAGGTAGAGGTAGAGAAAAAGGCAGAGGCAGAGGCAGAGGCAGAGCAAAAGCAGAACCTGAGGCAGAAATAGAGGAAGAAGTAGAACCAAAGGCAGAGCCTGAAGCAGGAGCAGAGGAAAAAGTCGAGGCAAAGGCAGCGTCAGAGACAGAGGTAAAGGTGGAGGTAAAGATAGAGGCTGAGACAGAGGCAAAGGCAAAGGCAGAGGTAAAGGTGGAGGCGAAGACAGAGGTCAAGGTAGAGTCTGAGACAAAGGCAACAAATGTCATCAGCAAGAGCAAGTACAAGGAAAGAAGGAACCCGCAAAACCGTATAATAATTTGATCAAGGAAACAGCCAATAGGCTGGTAAAAGAGAGGAGGAACAGGGTGTTAGCACTGGTTGGGGCATTTGAGAATGTCATAGATAAAGAATCCACTCGCGCCAAATGATCTAATGATTTCCCGAGATTCACACTCAGTTGCGATCAACACTTCGAATGCCACAGCTTATAGATTTATCATCATCATCTACACCTCACGGAGAAATGACGTTGTTTATTTTATTTAAAATTTTATTCTTTCTTCTAACTTTGCCCTGATTCATGTATACAACTCAATGTGGTAAATGGTAATAACAAAAACAACCCAAACGTGCTAAAGCTAATCATCAGTGGGCAACAAATCAGCAACTAAACACGATACACTTTTATTTACATGCATTACGGTGATCTCGGCTACTGATATTTGCTAAAAGAACATTGTAATCCCCTCGATCGGCAGGGCAAAAGCTGGCTTCATGGAGAGATAAAGGAGAGGCTTCGGCCTCAGGCCCACCTTTGCACCACCTGCTTTAATATTTCTCCAAATATGCAAAGAGCACCTAAGCTTTTAGTTTTAAAAAAAATCACAAGTTATTCAGATAAACCTCATCTGCCAATAATTTTATTTTAGCTTCAGTTTACTGATGCGGAAGCTTTAGCCAAACATAAAAAATTTGGTTCATATATTATGTACATGGTTCTGAGTGTGACCTTAGCGAAAGTTATAGTCAAAAACATTAGCATGCATATATTTAAATTTAC